GACCATGGCCTGTATCAGACGCACCTTAGTCTCCAGAGAGACACCATTGCTCTTCAGTACTTTGGAGAGGTCCCTAACAGCAGACTTTCTCATGGCAATGCGCCTTTTAATTTCCTAACTACTGGTGCCAAGAGTGTTGACTTTGGAGCCAAGCAAACTAAAGCTGTGAGCAGTCTCAATCTCTTCACCATCCATCCTGATGCTTCCAATTGGCCCAGTGGTGAGAATCTTTGTCTTCTTGACATTGAACCTCAAGCCATATTGGAGGCTACAGTCCTTGACCCTGTGCATCAGGTGCTTCAGGTCCTCCTCAGTTTCAGCAAGCAGGGTTGTGTCAGTTACACACTCTATTAATTTTTTTCCCCGTCTCCTTTCATTATAACGTGCAGGACCGTTAATTCTGGAGGAAGCCCGAGAAAGCCCCAAGTCCTAGGTTTTCTTCTGCCAAGTAACCTATGAACAGGGGGGTACCTGAGCTGCGACGCTACGATGGGGAACAGTGTCCTCCTTCATATGGAAACTGCTCAGAAAACGGGTCTCTTTCAGATCAGAGACCATAGGCAAGCAATCTCAGGACCATCCACTTGTTCAGCAAGTTCCAGAACCAACCACCTATGCAAGATAGGCAAGTTTGCTCTGCTGAACAGCCACTCCCTGATATATTATTGTCCTGCCTGATAAATTATGCAATCTGAAAACATTAGAAATTTTAAACATAAAACAATTACCTGGTTGTTTAGCTGCCACCGGCTTTTGGGTAACTTTATGCTATCAAGACCCTAGACCTCTGGGAATGAACTCGGAGCGCAGTCACCTTGTAGCCTGGTTGTAATGATCTAAAAACCAGAACTAGAGTATACTTTACCTAGTGGGGGACCAGCAGGTCATTGAACTCAACCTCAACCAAAAGCAGATATCTCAGATCTCAATGAGGATAACTTAGTGTCATCATTTCAAAGTTCTCCTGGAAGAGAATTGTCTTGAGTTCAGAATGCTTTCGCAGAGCATCTTTGATCCCCAAACATATCTGCACTCTGTAGAAAGCAATCTTTGAAAACTGGAAGTTTATGATAAGAAATCTGTATGATGTTCTACAGGATCCTGAGAATTTTATAGGATACTGACTTGGAATCTGGCTGAATAAAGGCTCCTGCCATGACTAAGGATGTCCGCAGTAAGGAGATTCCACTCTAGGAAATATTTTAGTCCACAATCTTTGTCCTTTATAGGACCCACTTAACATAAACTAAAAGGACTGACAACACGTGAAGAGACCTCTGTTTGGAATCATGAGTTGGTCAGAGCAATGTAGCTTCTTAAAACTGTCATGATTATTGTTTAAGAAACCAGGATCCAGCTGCTATATATATATAGTGAGGGATTGCTGCCTAGTAACAAAATAGCTCCACTGAAATCACTGATAACTTCAATCCTTTCTCCATGCATCATAATGCTGGCTGTTGCTCCAGTGGTAAGGATCTAGATTTTCTTGATGTTGAGATGTAATCCATATTGAAGGCTGCAGTCTTTGATCTTCTGAAGCAAGTGTTTCATGTCCGTATTTTCAGCAAGCAAAATTGTGTGATCTGCATAATGCAGATTGTTGATGAGTCTTCCTCCAATCCTGTTGCACATTCTTCTTTATAGGTTATGGCTTCTAGAATTATTTGCTCAGCATATAGACTGAATGGGTATGGAGAAAGGATACAACCCTGATGCACACCTTTCCTGATTTTAAACCAGGCAGTGTTCCCTTGCTCTTTTTGGACAACAGCTTCTTGGTCTAGGTATATTTCGTATTAGCACAAGTAAGTGTTCTGGATTCCTATTCTTCTCAATGCTAGCCATAATTTAGCCTTTGCATGGTCAATAAAACAAAAATAGACATTTTTATGATATTCCATGCTTTCAACCAGGATTCATCTGTTATCAGCAATGATACCCCTGATGCTGCAGCCTCTTCTAAAGCCAGGTTGAATTTCTAGTTGCTCCCTATTAATGTACTGATCTAGTAATTTTTTAATGATCTTCAACAATATTTTGCTTGCATGATATATTAATGATATTGTCTAATAGTTCCTACATTCTGTTAGAGCATTCTGAAGTTGACACAGATAAAAGTATCATATGAACAAGAGCCAATGATAGTGAAGGATGAAGTTCAAGCTCCACTGAAGGCCTTAGAAAAAAAAATAAGGCCCCAGGAATCGATGAATTCCATTTGACATGTTTCAGTTAACAGATGCAGCTGTGAATGTGCTCAGCAGTTTATGCCAAGAAATCTGGAGGACAACTACCTGGCCAACTGACTGGAAGAGATGGATTGTAATAGTGATGGAT